GTTTCTTCTAATCTTCTAATCTTCGTACGTTTAACTCTTCGGTTGTCAGCTCGTCTGAAGAGAAAAAGGATAGTGGGGCGGCGGGTGTAGACGCCTTATATACTGTGGGCCTGCGCGCGCATTCAGGTAGGCTCGCCCCGATTGGCCGGCTACGTTTACGTAAATTCAGTAGGTGAAAGCACGCACAGCACGATAGAGAGTAGTACCCATAGAGTCCAGTAGAGGGCGGAGCCTGTGTGAGATATAACTGAGAGAACGTCTGGAGCTGTCTCACCAGCTGGCACGAGAAGCTCTTGGGAAATCTGTTGAGCGAGCTAAAAAACAGTACGAAAAAAACATTTGTCAAACCCAACACAAAGTGGGAGATGCAGTATGGCACCTGATTAAAGGCACCAAAAGGGTTAAAAACAAGGTACGAAAGTTTCTGCCATCCTACGAGGGCCCTTACTTCATTGTAGGCATGTTGGATGACCTGATCTATAGACTCAAAAAGAGCCCCAGAGCCAAAGTCAAAGTTGTCCACCATGACAAGCTCAAGCCTTACTATTCCAGGACCCCATTAGACAACAGCTGGGTGTTAAAAGACACAGAAGCATGGGCGCCTGTCAAGGTGCCGCCCCCTCAGCCAGACCTCAACTCATCTGACACAGTCATCGGGCCTCTCCACCTGTGGGACCCCCCATCAGACGCAGAGGATGCAGCTGTGGAGGCCCTCGAGGACCCAGGTTCTTCACCGCCAGTTACGCCGAGCAGCAGCTGGTTTCATGACAGACTTCCTCGGACTCAGCGCCCTTCCAGGGCCCCGGCCAGTGGTCCCCTACGAATTTCCACCCCTCTACAGAGACCCCAGCGACTCCACAGAGCTCCTGACATGTTAGGTGACTGGGTCAGTCACTAGGGTTTGTTAAAGTTTAACCTGAGTCAGGGTGTCAGCAGGTTTGTTCCTAACTCAGTAAAAAAAAAAAAGTTCCAGAGTAATTATATGCTCTTAAAGGTCCCATGTCATGCTTTTCCGGTTCTTAACCGTCCCCTTGTGTGTTATGAAGGTTTTTATGCATGTAAACGGTCTGCAGAGTCAAAAACCCTCAAAGTACACCCTGTAGCGAGTAAAACTCTAACACAGAAAAGACCTCCCCAAAACGCCTCGTTGGAGATTTCATATTTTCTTCCTGGGCATCGTGACGTAGGGATACCCAGTAGCCACGCCCAGACCTATGACGCACCCTCTGCCAGCTGAACATATATACTGTTGGAAGCTCAGGTTAAGATAAGATAAGATAAGATGGACCTTTATTAATCCCCGTGGGGTAATTCAGTTGTACAAAGCAGCAACAGGGTAAGCGTGAAAAAACAGGACAGCAAAGATTCACACAGATTAATAAAATCAAAAATAAAATCAAGAATTTTTTTTTTTAATAATAATAATGATAATAATAATAAAAGACTATGAAATAGGAGATGAGTAAAAATAAGAGTAAAATAACTGTCAGCATATATACATATTTGGTCATCTAAGTTATGAAGTACGAAATGAGTTAAAGTGACAAGTGAAAAGTGAAAAATGGACATCTGTACATATAAATCGACATATCTATCTACATATTTGGTCTACTACTAATGTATTTACATGGGTTGTGGAAACAGTGTATATTTATGTCCAGTGATTTTATTTTATTTATTTTTCATTATTGACCCCTTGTTGTGCAGCCTGATGGCTACAGGCACAAAGGACTGTCCGAGGCGCTTGGTGCGTTGTTGTGGAGGGATGAGTCTGTGGCTGAACGTACTCCTCATCTTCACTAGCTCTGCAACAGCGGTAATTAAAGTTTAAAAGTCTCAAAAATGCTACAACTACTGTCACAAACTGGATGAATGTGAAGTATTTTGTTAAAGGAGGATGAAAGCGTAATCAAGGAGCACGATTGGAGTGACTTTGATGGTTATTGGACTCAGGATTAATTCATTTGGATTCCCGCTGTATCGCCACGTGCTGAAAAGTGCTATATAAATAAAATTGCCTTGCCTTGCCTTGCCTCGCTGTATGAAGAAATTAAAGGACGGCGCAAGTGGAAACAATTCACAAAGGGATTAAACTGTTTAAAACACATGCTCAAAGTAAGCCAGATTTTGCCGATGTGTTTATGTGGATACAAAAGTCGTAAATAATCTACAAAATGGAGGAGACCGATCTGATCGGAGCAACTGTGACAAATAATCTGAAACCGGCATGGACAATGACTATGTTTTAAAAATGCGCTTATCCAGAAAAGCCTGGTTTGGACACTTTACGGGCAGAAGAACCATTTCTATTAAAGAAAGAATTATACATTTCTGTCTTTTATGCCTATAATAGCTACTAACTTGAATTTTTATTCAAATTAATTAATCAATTATTTTTTATATGTTATTGTAATGTAGAGACAAGGCTTTTAGTGACAATCATGTATTGCGTTACAATTATATGTAAAAAAAAATAAATTGATATGATCTGATATTTGGCCTCAAATCATCTGAGGCCTGGCGCCCCCCCTGCGATCGTTGGCGCCCCCCCAAGGCGGGCGCGCCCCCCAGGTTGGGAACCACTGCTCTACACCAATGTTTTCCTGGTAAGCAAACTGTAGAGGGTCCATGGAGTCACACACGAGGTTCAGTTCAAAACTGTATCCAGTCATGCCAATGAGGGTCTGTTTCCTGTCTTGTGAGGGGAAATCTTCAATGTATGCCTTACCGAGGGCAGAACCACGACGAAGTCAGTGGTTGACATTTCTTGTTAACACTGTTCCTTCAGATGTTCGAGCCGGTATTGTACTGTGTGCACGGCATTGCAGCGATTCATGCCGGATATGTACAGCGTAGGACACTGAAGGACGATGCTGTTCCTACTTTGTTTGGACCAGCGGGAGATTCGGGTACACAACCTGTAAGTATCCATTGTTGTTTGTGTATTTATGATGTTTAAAACAAACAAGGTATCTACCACGACTGTTTAAATGGGTAAACGTTTTTCGGGCTGCTAAGCCATTGACTAAGCGCTAACTGGGCTAACTAAGTTGCTAGCGTTTCCATATATCAACTCCAATGTCAGCAGATGGCCTTACATGTATCTCATAGCAGGAGAATGTCTGCATTCACACACGAAATACTCATAGACAGTATACTCCGGGTGATTTACCGTACGGTCAGTACATTATAGTTGGCGTTCCTAGCGTGTATGCTACCGAGCTACTGTTCCTAGCGTGTATGCTACCGAGCTAAACGAGAAGGCTACCATGACCTAGACATGCTAGGGAAAACATTGTTTTTATGCCAGCAACAATGAATGACCGAACGTAGCAGACTACCCGTATAAGATTGTGAATTGTGAATTGTGTGAATGCAGACATTCTCCTGCTATGAGAATTGTAAACATGTTCTTGCTAGCCTAATATGAACCACTAGCTTTTGTTCATAGTGTAGAATGATCGAGGGTCGAGTATCTTTCACGACTCAGGTTTATTATACAAGTCAAGACATTACAGTAGGCAGCAACATGACAACTGGCGGGCTTACTCTGAAGTAAAGCAGTCCTTCACCTGCCGTAAAGCAAGTCGCAACACTGTCGTAACAGCCTTAACTCAGTATGCATTGTATGCATATGTGACATCTCCCCTTTTTTCCTAGTTATTTAATCTTAAATAACTGTAAAGAGCTTTGACCGATTAGTCAGAGCATCATCCTGTAATAGTAAACAACAGTCAAACTGTGATAACAAATGTTCATTCAGTCGTACTGACCAACCAAAAGTGTCCTATGAATACAGGTTAACTTCACAGATTATGTTAATAAAGATGGGTAACCAATACCTTCAGTAGTGCTGTAACAAAATAAAATTCAAGATGCAAGTTTTCTTTTCTAAACATTGCAGCAGTAATATCACATTTGTACATAACATTCACAATAAACAGAACTCAAAATTCAGCAGACTCAGAGTCCACCTGTGTTTCCCTATTCATTTTCTCCCCCCCAAAGGCCATAGATGTTTTTTTTTCTTATTCACCCCCAGAGGTCATTGTGAAACACCCAGAACACTCCTGTCTACAGGTCCAACCTAGTGGCCGGCTTACTGACACGGCCAGACCTGGTCTGAACACGTCCTGGTGTTGTTGTATGGGTTGTCACCTCACTTGGTTTCAGGGTAACAGTCTCTGGTGTGTTGGCGCTTACAGGCTGGGAAATCGCCACAGCACTCTCTGCTGGTGTTAGTGGGATGTGCTGTGCAGGTCG